ATCTAATAAGAGAATAGATAAACAAGCGTAGCTTAGCAAACAGTAAATGTGCAACATTTTTTTTTAAAGTCTTAAAAAGCAAACAACTTCTAATAAACATCCTATAATGTAAATAAGTTGTCATTTTAATAAGAATATGCCTATAACTCCACTTTGAGAAAAATGTCAGATAGAACCTTATAATTCTAAGGTGATGAATTGTTGTTGAATTTTTTTTCATTATTATTTTTTTTTTCTCTTTTTTATTTCCTTTTTCTTTTCTTTCAGTTATTTTGTTTGTGTACTTGATGTTAAGTGTTGGTGTTTATTGTGTTAAGTGTGTCATTCTGTTATATGTGAAGCACTATCATGTCAAAAACAATTGCCGCAAGGGAATAAATAAAGCTTTAAACTAAAAACTTATATGCAAACAAAATCTAAAAATTATAGAAACAAAAAAAATAAACATTTAAATATTTTAAGCTGTGGTGAATTATTATGACATAATGGCACATTATTTGCAATTGATATTACAAAATAGTAATTTACAGATAGTTCAACGCTTATTTTTTACCTTTTTTTTTTTTTTGTCATATTGAAGTAAAAGTTTGTTTAAAAAACTTAATTACTTCCTGGATTCTGTATCACCATAGTCTCTAGATACAGCCAAGCCAGATATTATTTATAGCACTGGCAAATTCTGACTTAAATTGACTTTTTATTCAACCAGCAAGTAGTTTTGTTGACTGAAAATGACACTGGCTTCTCTCAAAGAATAATAGGGTAGAAAAACAAAACAAAAAATAAAGATTAAAATTTACATCTTTTTTTTTTTTTACATTTGAACAAAAACTTTAAGTCAGAATTTGCCAGGGGTACTGTATGAATAAGGTAGGTGTGATTTTGTTAAATATGATGCAATCCTAGACTAAAATCTACAGTTTGTTGTTCCTGGAATGTCATTTTTGTTTAAAAATCTAATCCAAACCATTCCCTTCCCCTAAACTATAGCTATTTACATTAAATGCCACCTAAGCTATTGTCATCTAATAGAATGAGTCAATAGAGCCGCCATTTTAGTACAGGGTAGCATGCCTTTAAAATGAATATGGGACCAAGGTGCATTGGAGGACTGGCAATCTGGAATGATGACATATATACACACATTAGCTTTTCAGGTGATCAGTATGCAAATATATATTTTTTTAACTTATGAAAATTACAATTTTACACAACTTTTCTAAATCAATGGATAAGTGACCGCATGGGCATTGCCGACAAAGAGCCAATGTTTGTGTGTGTTTGTGCATATCCACCTTTCTGATCTAAATAGTATATAACATTTCTAATATTCAATAATTTATGATAAAAACTACGCACATTGAGGCACAGACACTGTTATGTTATCAGATACCCTCCTAAGTTGCTTCAAAAACTAGCTGATACTTCACTTAGCCAACAATAGTACAAAGTTCACTGCAGCATCTTTTTATTCTATTACTTGTAACAACAGAAAGATAAAGTTCTAACAACACATTACAGGTTACGCACCAGGCTCACTGTAGTTTAGCTAACACGCTAAAGCTAACAACAACCAAATTGAGGGAATGCTGTGTTAAAAATAAAATAAACATTAGTATTTAATGTGAGACCATCACATTTAAAAATGTATTAACTGGTACACAGTGTGCAGTACAAGCACACGGTGTATAGTGCATCGTTTGACACACAACTAGAGACTATGCATTCATGTCCGATTGTGCTTTGATGCTTTCAAAACACATCTGTGCTTTTCACCAGAGACAAAGCAGGAGTCGGTGTGACATTTGCTTTAGTGCAGTAATAGTTATGGTGGTAGACGGGGGGCCGAGGAGCCCCACTGTTCAGGGGCCGGACGGGAAGCGGAGCGGGTGATGAGATTACCGTCTGCAATGAGATGCTCCGGTACGTGAAGGATCACTCTGACGTTCAGGCTACAGGAAAGGTGAGACGCACAGACCAGGCCGATCACACAGCTCACCACGCTGATCAAAGTGAGGGTGGTCTTATTGATAGGACTCCGTGGGGAACCTGAGGAGAAGACAGAAAGAGGAAGCAATAAACAAGCGATGCTACAAGTCTAGAAAGTTCACATTTTTATGTGCATGTCGGGAAGGCACAAGGGAGACGGTTAAAAAACAGACCACATCAGGGTTGGTGGTCCATGAAAGGAGCACTGGATCAAACCAGCCAGCCAAACTCGGAGAGCGCCAGTAGCTCTGGCACGAATAGAGCAGTGGGGAGATAACGGTTTACCTTTTGATGCATGCTGCTTTTATGCTAAATACTGCAAATGGCAATATTTTTTTGGGGTGTGGGGGGGTAAGTTGTTTTTTATCAATTTTTGTGTGATACAGCCAAGCTGGTTTGGTGTAGTGCTGTGCCGTACATCTGTTACATGTCAAATCTAGGCACACAACATTGCTAGTGGTGTTTGATTATTATAATACAACAGAAAGACATTAACAACATACAGTCACAAATGTATGAGGACACAATACAACATATGAGAACAAAACACATTCTTAATTCCAATTCTATACATTTTGACAGTAGAACCTCAAGGTTAATGCACTGGACACCTTTTTCATTTTTCAACATTGCATAGTCAATTATTTTTAATAACTTTCCTTATGTCATAATGCACTTATTTAAATTAATTATTTGTATGTGTTACGTGGGTCTGTTTTGTTTTTGGTATGGTTGTGTGCTTTGTTTTTGCGCTTGTCTTAGTTTTAGGTGAAGTCTGCGAACGGCCCGTTCGGATTGGATCCGAGACGGCAATGTCGGCTCACTCTATCTCTCTCGGTCTCACACTGTTTAGCTGTTGGTGCTTTGCGCTTGCCAGGATAGCTCCGCATAGCGCTCTTTTTATTGCTTTTGTTTTTGTTAAAGAGCCCCTATTATGGGTTTCTAAGAATGAGCTTCCATGCAGTGTGTAACACCATACTAAGTGAATGAAAACATCCAGCTGAGGGTTAAATCTAAAAGTGCACCGTGTTTGAAATTATAGATTATTTAATGTAATAGTCAACTCAGAGTCGAATAAATGAATTGTTAAGTCGGGTTCGGAACTTTTGCTTGAATGCATAAACATCGATACGGTACATCACCGAATATGTAGTGCCGGTTACAATAAAATGTGAACGCGCCTTTCCCTTCAGACACTAGCGGAGAGTCACTGTACTGATCATGACGTGAAGATGATGATCACTGACATGGAGATTTAGCTGCAGAGATCAAAAGGTTAAAGTTCATTTTCACAAAACTGCCACAGTAAAGCCAACCAAAAAGTTGCGATGAGGGATTTGTCAATCGTTTGCTATTAGAGAAAGGAGCAGCAGAGACGATTATGTATGGGACTTTTGTCAGTAACTGTTACAGTTCATATGGACCAGTTTCTTCTGCTCCAGATCATAACATTCATTCATTCATTCATTTTCTTTTCGGCTTAGTCCCTTTATTAATCTGGGGTTGCCACAGCGAAATGAACCGCCAACTTATCCAACATATGTTTTAAACAGCAGATGCCGTTCCAGCTGCAACCCATCACTGGGAAAAACCTACACATTCTCATTCACACACATACACTACAGACAATTTAGCTCACCATATTCACCTGTACTGCATGTTTTTGGACTTGTGAGGAAAACCCACACGAATATGGGGAGAACATGCAAACTCCACACAGAAATGCCAACTGACCCAGGCAAGGCTCAAACCAGCGGTCTTCTTGCTGTGAGGCGAGAGTGCTACCAACAAATTCATTTTCTTTTCGGCGTAGTCCCTTTATTAATCAGGGGTCGCCACGGCGGAATGAACCTGCAACTTATGTTCTTTTCTGAGATTATATCTATGTCTTTCTTTTCCCCACCATCAGAGGCATTTTCTCAAAACTTTCCCAAACTAAAACAGTAACAGTTGTAGAATAAGTTGGTCTACATTCACGGTTCATGTATCTTTGGACACTTCAGACTTTACCACCCATCAAACAAAAAAACGTTATAGCTTCTTCAGTAATGTAACAATATTGAATGTGTTTGTGACATTGTGGCTGGATTTGTACATTGCTTTTTGTGTATATCAACTGTTTGGCTTCAAGAATTTGTGTCTTTGTGCAGTTACACTATAACATACCCTTACCACCCACTTTATTAGGTACAGCTTTTCAACTGCTTGTTTTTAAATGACTTTGCACATTGCATGCTTGTTGGTGCCAGAAAACATTGCTGAAAAACGAATATTAAAATATACACAATGAGTGGTAACCTGTGGGTTATAAAATCTTGTTAAAGCCACAAAGAAAGCGATCATGTCAATACAAACCATATCTTCGATAACATTTCTTGTTGAATCTAAGTTTAAGACAGTTCTGAAGAAAAACTGGGTGCAAACAGGTATCAGCAAGGCATACCTAATAAAGTGGCCAGAGAGAGTTTATTCTACCAATGATAAAACATGTTGCATGCCATTTGTGTCAGTTTTGATGTCAAAGTTTTCACCTTGAAATAAAAAGAGTGATACAAGATGAGTACCCAGTGCATTAAAGGACATCTGAGGACCTTCACAATAAAAGCTGCACAACTCATTAAACAAGTGGTTTAAAACGGTTACAAACATTTTTTAGGATAAACATGAACATGCAGCAGACAATTAATTACCAACAATACATTCAGATGATACACATATGATGATAAAGACAACTTGTTTAGATGAATTGCTTGAAACATACAGTATGGAATAAATGAGTCACAAAGGAGTTACAAATTGCATTAACACAGCAACATGTATATGAAAGGAGGAACCGCAGTTTTACAAAATATTATAATATACATGATACGTATTACATCCTTATTTTAAGTGTATATGTTATCTGGCTTGACAGGTCGACTTTGGAAAAATGAAAGACAGATGACTGAAAGAAAACAAAAAGCATTGATTCAATCATTTGCACGCATCTGTCCTAAATATTTCTATTTATATAGAAATGGTTACAAAAATTTATGGGTAGTTTTTTGGAATCTATAATCTGTTTTATGCTTGTTATGTATTCATCAGTGCTATATTGAGTTGGGTTAAGACTGGCATAGGAAAAAAAACTATGCATGGTCTTCTGTAGTGCCAATTTCATCTTCTAGGACTAATTACAGCAAAGAAAAAAAAAATAAAGATTTACAAAAAGGTAAAAATTTAATTTGAAAAATATCCCTGGATTTCATTTTTTTTGTAAGGTTAAGAAGGTAGCATAAAATAATTTATTTTAAAGAAGTTAAATAAATGTCAGCATTTAGCATTTAACTTATTTTGAAAACATTTAAGATATACAGTGCTCAGTGTAATTGAGTATACAACCCATTTTGAAAATAAATTTATTTATCCATTTCTCAGTGAATATAGGCAATGTATTTTGGTGCATTAAAATGACACAGATTTATTAAACAGATAAATTTCTTAAAATAATATTGTAGTCACCAAACATAAATAGAAATTGAAGGATAATACAATTAAATTCAAGCAAAATATTGCAAAAAAATGACAATCTACAAAATTTCAATTCAATTTTTCCATTTTGTTGCTTCTCTTAATTTTCCTCTTTTTAAATTTCTATTTTATTTGTGTACTTGTATATGCTGAGCACTACACACACACACACACACACACACACACACACACACACACACACACACACACACACACACACACACACACACACACACACACAATGTCAGAATTATTAGCATCCCTTTGAATTTTTTTCAAATATTTCCCAAATGATGTTTAACAGAGCAAGGACATTTTCACAGTATGTCTAATAACATTTTTTTTCCTAAAAAATAAAAAATACATTTTAAGGTCAAAATTATTAACCCCTTTTGGATATAGAAATCATCATTATACAATAACTTGCTTGATTACTCTAACCTGCCTAGTTAACCTAACATAATTAAGCCTTTAAATGTCACTTTAAGCTGCATAGGGGTGTCTTGAAAAATATCATGTATCAATATCAAATATCACATCATGGCAAAGATAAAATAAATAAGTTATTAAAAATTAGTAATTAAAACTATTATGTTTAAAAATGTGTTGAAAAAAAAATCTTATTGCTGTTAAACCCAATTTGGGGGGAAAAATAAACATTGGGGCTAATAATTTTGACTTTAACTGCATATTTAAATACGATTAAAAAAAAACTTATTTATTTATTTATTTATTTATTTTTGTGGATTTCAAACTATTATTAGAAATACTTTGACAGACAAATGTATAGCGATGTATTTGAAAATACCTGCATAGAGCTATTTGAGATTTGTAAGGATTTACTGTGTTTAATATATCTGGATATATACAGTATATATAGAGAAAAACATTATAAATATAATTATGATTTTATATATATATATAATTTATTTAAAAGTACATATTTAGCATCAGCGGTTATTTATTACTGTACCTTCATTTCTCTTAAATTGACAGCTCATATTAACACTTTTTTAAAAATGTAAATGCGCGCAAACATGTCTATCAACACACTGCTCTTTCCCAATAACCAGTTCATGCAGCGATCCAGGGGAGAAAAAAAAAAAGTGACACGAGCCATATCTATTATTAACTTAAGTCCAATTAAAGGTGTTGTTGCCACAGCTGACTAGTAGTGTTTTTGACAGCTACAGGGTTTAAGCATTTGCAATTAGAGGGAGAAAGTATTAAAGTTAAGTGATTGTCTGTTAGTTGGCTTTCAAGTAGAAGTTTAGGGAGCTTTAGTCCCTTGAAAAAATTAAATAAAAACAACACAGGGCTCCTCAGGGGAGTCACTCCAGCCATTAGCGTCTGACAGTACTGTCCAACTGTTTGTCAAATGCTCTTATAACGCTTAACATACACACATTTACTGTGCTTAATATTGAATTGTGGTCTACAGACTGAGCTGCTAAGCTTAAGGTGCTTAAATACTTGTAAGCTCGCATTTAGTCTTCATTCACTTCAGACGACGTCCACAGAGTCTTCAAAGGCTCTGAAGAGTTTTCTTAGCAAACTTAAAAATTGCTTAGGGACCCTCAGTCCAATTTAGAAGACAGCTAAAAAAATAGTTAAACATTTCTGCTTTCTTGTAAATTGTTTTAACACAGTATTCAACTGCAATGTCAAATCAATGGCAAAATCTCACACGAAACATAATGCCTCGGTAGGTGAAAAAGTTGTAAGGCGAGTCGCTTCACAACTAACACTTCGCTCAGTTTGAGAACGAAGTGAAACACAAACACTGAATGGCCACAATCAGTGCAGGCGATGCAGGTCGAAATCATGCGATGGTGTGGAAGTCCTTCTTACCCCCAGAGCCCCACGCCGAGTTGACGTTACCATTTCTCATACCTCGACTGCGTCGGCGGCTGCGGTTTGGGTCGGTGTAGAAAGTCAGCTGAGGCTCGCTGTCCGCCTCTGTCCCAGAGTCTCCATCTGGGTTCAGAAAAGTTGAACCCGCTGTAGAATTCACACAAAAATCATTCATCAAATCAGATTAAATGTCGAAGTCATTTTGTGTGTGAAATAACCATACAGAGTGTAGGTAAATATCACGTCGGTCCCAAAAGAAAATAAAAAAAACACAGAATGAATTGAGGAGAAAAAAAAGATTATTTGATCCAAGATTTAGCACAACAATTGCAAGCCCAATGTCATCATAAGGGTGTGAAATTAAACAAATCTGACAGCATGACAAAAGGGAGATTTCTGTCTGATTGCTAATCACTTTTGTTTACTTATCTAGCATTACTGATTACTACGGCAAGTAATTATAAAGAGCTACAGCAGATTTATTAGAAACATCACATTGGAATATTACTTCATTATTTTTAATGAGGAGAGATCTTACAAATAATGCAGTAAAGCCACTGTCAAAATGGTTGTTAGTTAAATTACACCTTTTTAGGTAATTTTTACTTTCATATCACTTATACACTCTCAGTAATAAAGGTACGCAAGCTGTCACTGGTGTGGTACCTTTTTAAAAGGTAGGCATTTGTACTTAAAGGGTCAATATTGGTACCTCAAAGGTATATATTAGTACCTCAGTCCAATTGAACCTACAGCTTTGATAGTTTTGTTATGCTAAAAATGGTTATTTAGAAAAAAAAAGAAATCAGAAAAAGTTTATCATTCACATCAATTGATTTAAAAACATGAAATTATAAATACATTTTACAAAAAAAAAAAAAAAAAGTTTACAACTTTTCCCCTTGTTTCTGTCATTCCTGTCACATTTGCAATAAATTTAACAATGCGTGCAATACACGATTAAGGCTATGATTTGGAAGTGACATCATTTGACGGAGGAGAAGCTATTGTAAGTCTTACATTTATCAATGACTAATACAATTGATTTTCACATATACATTTTTATTTTTTAAACATTTATTTTTTTCTTGAGATGGATGTTTCTTTAGCATTCTTTACTTAATAGAAAGTTTAAAAGAACATTTACTTGAACTATAATTCTTCAGCAACATGTTTATTAGTCTAACATTAGTTTAATGCAATTATTAATTTATGGATAAAGTTATACATTTCTTAAATGTTTCAGACTCCAAAGTTCTGAACAATAGTGCACATAAAAAATATTGCTAGACTATATCAGGGTTTGCTTACATACTAAGGGCTCTATTTTAATGAACTAGGTGCAAATTCTAACGTGTATGGTGCAAAAGCATTAAGGGGACTTTTTTGCTATTTTACAGACGAAAAAAATATGATGTGTGGTTTGAGCATATGTGCATTAAGCCAATCAAAATCTCATCTCCCATTCTCTTTAAGAGTCAGTTGCATCGTGCTATGGTGCATTTGCTATTTACATTGTGGACTTTGTGAGCAGAAAAACTGAACGCTTCACTAATGAGAAAACAGTTAGACAGACCATCTGCAGTGAGGATAAAGAATGAGCCTCCACCATTCTGCCTCTTTACTTTACTTTACTTTACTTTTACTCTTTATTCCTTTACTTTCGTGGAGTAAGAAAATGGTGGAAACTTTCTCTACTATATACATTCATTGGCCTACATATTATAATTTGTTTGTTAAGTGCAAAGATGTGTTTTAAAACTAAGTTCTAAATTCACTAAATTCAGTTCTAATTTCCAGCAAATGAATAAATTAACAATAAAAATTAAGTGTTGTCAAAAAATTGCACTCAAAAAAACACACTTCCTATGCTCCATATGGTCCAAAACCCAACAGGTAGACAAATCTAAGCTTGTTTTTATTAAAACAAATATAAATATGTATATAATAAGTACTAATACTAATAATAAAAGAAAATAAATAAAGCAAACCGTCATGAATAAACTGAAAAAGCTCCCTGAGATAAAGAAGGCATGAAGGCGGTGGTTTTTATATTTATGTTGATAATAATAATTTTTGTAATATTTTAATCCTTTAATTCTTTTTCATTTGTAAAGATATTTGTTTATTGCTGTACATCTTGTGTATTAAGCAATGTGTAAGTGTTTAAGGCATACAACTAACGCACTCTGCGCTGGACTCAATGCCGTGGTCTATTTTATTTCCTCAAAATAGCAACGTGCCAACAATGCACCTAAACCCACCTCCTTTCTAGACTGGCACACCCATGAGTCCACAAAGTGTGCAAATGAATTTACTATTTAAACAATGAGGCTCAAAACAGGTAAATTAGGGTTGCACGAGTCTAAAAATAGCAACAAATCACGCCAAACACATCTTGTGCCTTATTGCGCTGGGTGTATGATAGGGTCCATAAAGTTTGAATGAAAGCATATAAATGACACACAATGATAAGCACAAGCTCTTCTACAGTAGGAGGAAATATTCTCATAATATCACCAAATAATAATGTTTTGACATCCCATAATTGCACTGTAAAAAGATCTGCGATGCATTCAAATACAATATATATAAAATACATTAGAAATGGCATAATTGCAATCATACATCAAGCACCCACACACACACACACACCCATGTGAAATACAGAGTATAATCCAGAACCCGCACAGTAATCATCGCTCTGTAAGATGCACTTCACCTCACAGAAGAGTATGGGGTAAATATAAGTAATGAACAGGAGGTAAGGAGTGTGACTGAGATAAGAGATGCACGCCTCCTTGGACTCTTTCGCTGTGCACAAAAGACACAATTTACCCGTCAGAGCTAGACAAACGCTTTCATTATGCAGCGCGTGAGGAAGAGATGCACGAGCGCACTGACCCGTGGATTAGACTGACTCTCAATGATGAGAAATAATGTTTGAGTTACTCCGTATTCACACAACAGTGCGGCTATCCATTAAAAACATCTTTGCTGGTGCAGGAGAGATTCAAGTAATTATCATTTATAGATGAGCCATCTGCATGGAATGAACTGAACTATGCTTATTTTTGTGATATTATTTCACACCGCCATAAAACAACGCATGAAATATTCAAAGCTGTGATGCAAACAACATGCTGTTTGGTTTTACAGTGAGTCTCAAAAGGGCACCATTCTGAAAGTAAGCATTTTATTTTAGCACATCAAAGCTATACAGTGAAATGGTATGACGTTCAATCAAATTATTTGCAAATGGAACCGGAAAGATGGATGAAAGAGCACAAAAACAATGGGAAAATGACAGATGTCCTCAAAATGTATTCTGAAAGAATAGTTCTATTTATATACTGTAGTCAACAATGAAAAACGTTTTATCTTAGTAAATTTCAACATTAATGAGATTTATCATTTAATTTTAATACTGTATTAGTCAACATTATTTAGCAGAACTGAAGTAACTTACTAAAACTGAACAACTTTTCAATTCAATTATTAAGTTACTGTTACAACCTCTTTGATGTTAGTCTAGGGTAAAAGTAATAACATTTAAAAGGTGTGGTACCTTTACAAAATGATGGGTGAAAACAAAAGACACAAACAACAAAACTGCCAACAAAAGTGATTTAATGTACAAATAAGTAAAATCAGAATAATGCCCAAATATATATACAATAAGAAAAATATTTACAATAATAAAGTAACAAATTAAACAAAGTATACGCTAGTGAAGCCAAATCAAAGAAATAAATACAACAAAACAATTCTAACTCATAAGCAAACCCCTTACCTCACTAGAACATGAAAAGAAAAAGAAAAGAGTAATCTTCAGCGCCGAGCGCCGTAAACTTACCTATTCTGAACTAAAAACAAAACAAATACATAAGTGGCATCCACTTTCTTACCTGGTGTTTTAAACAATGGATTGACTACGTGTATGTAAGATGGAAGTCGTATGATATCTTCCCTGTCCGCCTTACTCTGAGGACAAAGTGAACTCTCAATTATCTCTTTTGGGTTTGGGCAGGTAAGAATTGTGCCAAAGTAACAAACAAACAATCGAATATAAATGTACAGAAATCAAGTCGTTCAAAAATGGGCAGAAAATATACTAAATAGTTTATCCAAACGAAAGTTAAGCAAAATTAACGAATAACAAAATCATGTCGGCAAAAATACACAAAAACGAGATCAAAGGAAAAGCGTGCTGTCATCCGCTCTCCCTGGCGTCCTTATATGTGACAGCGCCACGTCACCCAATGATGAGTGACTGGTCTCCTGACCAATCAGATTCCGCGAAGGCGGACCTAAAGGATATGACAGGTAGAGATGGGGAGAGAGAAAGAGAAGGAGAGAGAAAAAGAGAGAGAGAACGGGACGCAAAAATTCCACCAATATACGGCAACCGTTACAGTTACATATGCCAAGATTACTAAACATTGTTGCAAACATGTTAGCCATTGTCAGGGCTCTATTTTAATGATCTAAGCGCAAAGTCTAAAGCGTATTGCAAGTGTAAAAACTGAACGCTTCACTAGCGAGAAAACGGACAACCTGCAGTGAAAATGAAGAACAAACCTCCTCCATTTGGCCTCTTTACTTTCTCTTTACTTTACTTATACGCTTTACTTTAATCTTTTAATCTTTTGTGGAGCATACAACAAACATGCTCAGCACAGGACTTTTAGATGGTCACTGGTGTACTCTACTTTAACTCCTCAAAATAGCAACATATCCCGCCAAACACATCTTGTGTCTTACTGCACTGGGTGTATGATTGGGCCCAAATGTTAGCTAATGCATTAGACAATATAAACTAGGGGAAAAAACTGTAAAGTATTACCAATAGTTATTGTTTTTATAAATTGTGAAAAACCTCCACTTGAAATTTCAACATTATAAATGTATTTCTCTCATATAAAAAAAAAGTTGTAATAAAAACAAAACCTTACTAACTATGAATCTTCCGAAAAGGTGCATCTAAAAAGACCAAATTCCTGGAACTCTGCATTTTATTTTAGCACTTCTTGGCACTTAAATGAAATTTCAGCCCGCCAGCCTCAGCACATTTAGTGAACTTTCCAATTATTATAAGATTATAAAATCTTTTAAGGTCTTATTTCTTATTTCAGTGATCTTTACTT